GTTAAAAACGTAATCAACATAGGCTGGCTTACAAATTTTCATAATGTGGATCTTAGCACAGGTATAAGCTAGATAGTGTGTAAGAACTGGCTGCTAGACAATGAGCAGTTCATAACAAAATAACCTCAAAAACAGTTCATAACGAAACACTTTTCCGTAAATCTCACCAGCATTATAATCGCTTTCCTCTTCTGCGAACAGATTTAGGTTTTTTTCATCTGTCGAGAAAGCGACAGAAAAATAGAGCTATTTTTCCTCACTTTCTCGGCGATTGAATAGTATCGTATTCCGAACTCGATTCTTCTTCGTCCGAATGATGGAAACTGGCRGWAAACTAGTGCTGCAATAGGCTCATATTGGTATGGACGAACTTCACTGGTCGTTCTTCTTGAGATATTATTATTTAAAACCTTATACTGTACGTAAAAATCAAACGAAGAAACCAACAAACAGCTATGCCATCGCTATGCCACTGTTTGCTGAAACCACATCTCACCATCTGTGACGTCATCACTCGATTCCATTCCTCGCGCGGAAATATTGACGTTCTTCGGAGTGATTTCGGAAGTCCAAAAGTAATCGCTAAAAAACTGAGGTAAAACTTGAAGAAAYTTGCTCAAAATGAAAATATAACHTTCTCTTGACTTAAAGTTTCATTTGAAATCGTAAAAAATGGGATTGGWTTTTCCGTTGCATTTGACCTTTAAGTGTACCCTGGCCAAATTCACTCTGGCACATGCATGGCCATCACTAACTTATCCGCTGGGGCTTGTTGTTCATGACTGCATCGATGGGAATGATTATATAATTGCATTGAGCCACAAACAATTATGCTGACACTGTTCTGGATTTGTTTCTTGGAGGAACAACTGAATACGGATTGCCCTCCCGTGTCCGTGGTGATCATGGTGGAGAAAACATACGTGTTGCAGAGCTAATGACCCAAAGAAGAGGTGACAACAGAGGAAGCTTTATCGCAGGGCCCTCGACAAGGAATCAGAGAATAGAGAGGCTGTGGCGTGAAGTTTTTAGATGTGTGTCTTTTCTGTTTTATTGTGTTCTTTATTCTCTAGAAGACAGTGGATACCTCAATTTCAATGATCCCATTCACTTGTTTGTTTTGCATTATGTTTTTACTCCAAGAATAAACTATGCTTTAACTGATTTTAAACTTGCTTTAAATTTGAGGCCTGTGCGCACAAAGCACAACTGGATCCTAGGATCCCAGTAAGAATGTAGACCAATGGCATGGCTGCACAYAATGGTGCTGACATTACAACAATAGAATTGGACTTAGAGGTACTACTAAATGTAGACCTCTATGGAGTTGAAGGACCAGTTCCTCTAGAAGATCATGGAGCTGTTGAAGTCAATGACATTCAGAACCCATTTTCTCCATATGTTTTCCAGGAGCTCAAATCAGCAATCAATCCCCTGAAGGGGTCTCAAACATTTGGTATAGACATTTTTGTAGATGCTATTGACTTTCTGGACCAGTTAAACTAGTWAACATATAGATTTTACTTTTTGTATATTCAAAATGCCTTTTTCTTTGAGCATTAGTCAATACCAGGCTGAGGTACTCAAATGCAATATTAGCCCTGTACAAAAGATCCCTTACAAAGCCACAATGGAATTTTTTTCTTGTTCATTAATTTTGAGTCACCAAATTTAATAGTTTTGGATTAAAATTGGATTAAATCAAATCTTTAATTCCTCCTTAGTACCTTGTGTCAAAATCATTTTGATCAGACAAATATGCAGGGCCTCTGAAAAAGTGCAAGGGTGGGATATCACACTTTTTGGGAAATATTGCACTATATCGTACTAAATCGCACTATTTATCATTTTCYGCATTTTTTTACAGAAAAAAATGATGTAAAACTTACAACAATTTAGGAGGGATGCTTGAAAAGACAATAGTTTTTAACAAAGTTTTTCAAGCAAAAGTCATTGTAAATTGGCTTGTAATGGACTGTCAAACAACCTCTCGGTTTTCGTTTTGTAAGAATGTACCAGGCGTTCCTCGTAAATACGGCTAAGGGCCTGTGACTATTTAGAATTCTTTTTTGATTGGTTTAAAAAGTACCCAATCACATATCTCGATAAAAAATACTTCAAACTTGGCGGGAAATTAGCATTCACACTTTTCGGCAAAAATCGCACTTTTTCGCACTAATTGGCACAAATTGCACTTTTTCAATTTTTTTCCGCACTTTTTAGGAGGCCCAGAATAAGTCGATCAATTTTCAACCATAAAATTACTACTACAATCACCAAAATACTACTGGTAAATGTAAAATGATGGATGGAACTGAGGATGGCTGTGAACGACGATTTATTCAGCTGACTTTACAACATACACTATAGGCCGATCACTTCTGACGTCATTGTTTATGTTTGCCCGCGGTGAACGATGGGATTGTGAAGCAAAAGACCGCGTTTGCTACATATGTTTTAGAATTGGAAGGCATAATTTTGTTTCGTTCTATACGTTATTTTTGTTGGATAACAGAATTTGAGAGATTTATTATTTGAATTTCTCATGACCTTGTATTTTTCGATAAATGTTGATATTAGAGACCTAGACTGTTTTGACTAATGTTAGTTATATGTAGTTTCCTGTGTGGTACAACCTCCTATAGTTAAGACCACCATCGTTTTAGTTTTGACTAGCATTTGGTGGAAACAGGATATTGGATTAGGTTTAGAATTAKAAAAGGACTGACGTTATAGCACTCGMAACTCACTACTCATCTCATTGTACCTATTACGGGCCAAGACTGGGGTTGTAGTCTAGATCGTATTGGAAAGTACAGACCAAAGTATGGAAAGTGCTTGAGTTTGGAAGCCCTACTACACAAGCACTCCGACAGCGGAAAGTCTTTCTGGTCGACCTTCTTCAGCCTCATCTTGCGCCGAACACATTAATAACYATAGTTTTGTAATTACTGTACGTGAGAACCAAGAATAAACGAGTGGCAAACCAGAGCGATCCTTACTAGTTGAGCATGTCCTTACATTGGTGGAGAACCTAACTGGTTTGTTTTAATCTCATTACCGGACTTGACAATTAGTACCGTGATTTGATTTATCTGAAGTTTCTTTTGGTTATCATGAAGATCATACGAATTACAGCGACAACTCTAAAAGTCAAGAAGAGAAAATCGGCCTCATGTCAAAGAAGAAGTTCTCAAAGGATGAAGGAATTCAACAGAAAGAAAAAACTGCATGCAAGCKATTCTTCCTCGTCACTGTACAGTTAAAGACAAGAATGTCGATACACTTATCAACCAAGTTGAAATCGAAAACATTCGATTGTCAGAGAAACTGGAAATAGCGAATAACTGGAAATATAATAATTGTTGCGCTTCAATAGCTGCACGTCTTTTTACGCTCTCTAGAAATCTATATCTTACAAGGTTTTATCCGACCTTTTTTTAGTTTTTCTTTTATCTAGTCCTATCAATATGGCATATAAGTTTTATGCGAGGGCATTTTTGTTGTCAGTTATSTCATCATTGGCACAAATTCCCCGTTTGGATGCAGCTACTTATCAAGTGATCAGGGACAATGGAATAGCCAGGAAAATTACACGTCGTGGATGCAGGGCTGGAAATTACAAGAGACGACAAATTTACTACAGTTCTGGCTTTGGAGACCAACAATCATTACTCCTTAGCAAATGGTTTCAATCACAAATCTGCTTTGCCTTCAAAATCTAGTCATTTTGGATCCTTTGTTAATCCTGGAAATATGCAAATTCTGGATTCCAAATTCCATAGGGAGATGTTTGAATTGAATAAAGAGCCAAGGAATGTCAACAATCCCATTCAAATTAAACCGGTGCCTCAAAAAACAGGGGTATTGTTACCATCGCGTTTTGGCCTATTAAATACAAGATCAATGGTGAAGAAAACAACAAAGATTWGTGACTTGGTCATATCAAATCGGATTGATGTCTTAGCCCTTACAGAAACATGGCTAAATGGGACAGACAAACACTGCATCGCTGACATCTACAATACACTACCGCATTATTCATTATTTAATGTTCCTCGATCTAGACGCAAAGGCGGGGAAGTTGGAATTCTTGTGAGGGATGGGTATAGTGTAGTTGAAAATCAACTGGAAGCTCATACGACGTTTGAATATCAAGATATTACTCTGTCTGTCTTACCGAGGTGAATCGCTTAGATTAGTCAACATCTACAGACCTCCATCGAACACTGCCTCAATTGATTGCTTCCTTKCTGAATTTTYATCAATTTTKGAACGTCTAACACTAATCAGATGTCCTCTTATCATTTCTGGTGATTTCAACCTACATGTTGATGACCCAACCAATAATCATGCTCTAAAGTTTCTAAATCTAATTGAATCCACTGATTTGGTTCAATATGTTACTGTATCTACACATGCCCGTGGTCACACACTAGATCTGGTTCTTACGCGTGAATTGGATAACATTGTTTCTGATGTTTGTGTTGTCCCATCACATAGAATCTCTGACCATAAGCTTATTATGTGTGGTATAAAGTATTCAAAACCACCGCTACCAAAAGTCACCGTTTTCCATAGAGACACTCAGAACATAAGCCTTGAGTATTTTTGCGAAGAGATCGAAACATGTCTGCAATCAATGGATATGTCTAATGATACAGCTGATTTGACCAAACAATACAATGAACAGTTATCAAACCTGTTTGAGCGTCACCAGTGAGTAAAAGGGTGATAACACTACGTCCTAATACACCATGGTACAGCGACACATTACGGAAAGCAAAGCAATAAAAGCGTCAATGTGAGAGGAAACTAACAAAAACTGGTTTAGAAGTCCACCGACAGGTATTTCAAGATGCCTGTGCAAAATACAATGAAATGCTTATATCGTCAAAAACCGCATACTATTCTCAAAAGACTCACTGNTTGTAGTCTAGATCGTATTGGAAAGTGCTCGAGTTTGGAAGCCCTACTATACAAGCACTCCGACAGCGGAAAGTCTTTCTGGTCGACCTTCTTCAGCCTCATCTTGCGCCAAACACATTAATAATTGCAGTTATACTGCAAACACTAAATGTGTGCAACACTTCCCACTATTTACTATAAAATAGTGCTTACTAAACAAATGAAAACCAATGGATTTAGCAGTATTTATGTTGCACACTTTTAGCATTTGTACTCTAACACAATTGCATATGTTCAATATATACTAAACTRTATAATGATATTGTACCTGATCTCCATGTTCTAGCTTTTCTAGGAATCCACTGTTAATGGTGAGTTCCTTATCCGAAACTCTCTCTCTCTTGAACTTTTGTTTTTTTGAGTTTTTCCTCTAGATATGTCTTCTCTTTTGTGAGATTAACACACCATTCATTAAACTKATTGGTAAGACGCCTTTGGTTTACAAGGTCTTGTGATGGCTAAGATGATTCAGTAGCGTTTTGGAAGAATTCGTACCATGCATTTGACTCTGATCCAATAATGAAGCCACAGTACACTTCGTTACATGTTTCTCCGTTGTAATCTGCTTCCATGTCAGATATTTCAATGAGCTCATCTTCGATTTCCATTTTGGAGGAATTTGCCACACCCTGTTTTTTACTTTGTTCGCGTTTGATCGTTCGTTACCATCTCTTTAATTCGTGTAAAAGCTTTTCTTTACTTCTGGATCTAGCGATTCCCATTTTTAGCGAGGGAAAATGATYCGGGGGATGTATAGGGTCATCGTGAGGTGAACCTATGTTATTCGATATGTCATTATAGCAGTTCAGATAGGAGTAAAAGCGTGGGAACTTCAAGAATAAAAATTCAAAAATATACCTGTCAAAAAATGCTTCTTACAAAYGCGATCGGAATGCTTTGGTTTATGTAATAGAGCCATTGCAGTCGTCTTTCCGGGACCTTTTCCAAAGGAATTCGAAAAAAACCTTGACATTCTTCTGACCATCTGTCAGCACAACCAATGACACAACACGAGTGGACCATCTCGTTTTAAAATATCATAAAAACGTAAGGACATGCTCAACTAGTAAGGATCGTTCTGGTTTGCCACTCGTTTATTCTTGGTTCTTACGTACAGTAATTACAAAACTATGGTTATACTGCAGGTCATGGCAGGGGATTTCTAATAAAAGAAGAGTTGCTATGAGGTGCCAGTTTAATAATACCAACATTTACTAAAGGCAAAAATCAACTAAAGAGGCAAGAGGTCATAACATCTAGAAA